GCACTTATGCATAATTTGGTTAGAATTTATCATCTATATCCATTTTTTTAGATTTTAGTTTCAATTTTAAAGAAACTGTTCAAGATATTCTCATCAAACTTCATACACTCGTGCAAATTTTCATGTTGCATTAATAATATACATTCGGCGGGGCATTTATGTCCTATGGATATATTTCTAGTTTTCAAATCATGACCTCCGAGGATAGGTTCAGGCCACAATAAGGGATCAAAATTTTATATAGGAACAAAAGGAAAAAAATTCAAAATTCTTCTTTTCAAGAACAACAAAAGCATGATTAATATGGAAACATTCCCAAGAAGTGTAGATTTAAGTTTGTACAAATCATGACCCCATGGGTTAGGGAGGGGCCATTTTTTTCCTGCCACTATTTGCCATCCACCTGGAAATGCAAATTTTAAAACCATTTTACACATCCACAGGACAAAATCAATCATCTTCCCAATGATCATGATTTAAGGCTAAAGCATAAAATATAAGGGAAGTTCTGGGAACCTGGGTGTTTAAACATGTTAAATATATTTTTTTTAAATTTGACCCCCATTTGATCCCCCGGGGGGGGGATAAAAATTCCGAAACCTTACTCCACATCTACATGACACCACCATCCATCTCCCAAAAGATATTAGGCTACTGTGTAAAATGTAAGAGGAGTTCTGGGAACCAGGGGGCTTTATGCATAAAAAAACGTCATTTTTCGACCCCTGTTTGACCCCCAGGGTTTAAATGTAAATTCAGAAACCTTACTGCACATCTACATGACACCACCATCCATCTCCCTTAAGATGATTAGGCTACTGTGTAAAATGTAAGAGGAGTTCAGGGAACCAGGGGCTTTTTGCATAAAAAACATCATTTTTCGACCCCCATTTGACCCCCAGGGTGAAAATGAAAATTCCGAAAACTTACTGCACATCTACAGATACCACTAACCATCTCCCAAAAGATGGTTAGGCTACTGTGTAAAATGTAAGAGTAGTTCTGGGAACTAGGGGCTTTTTGCATAAAAAAACGTCATTTTTCGACCCCCGTTTGACCCCCAGGATGAAAATGAAAATTCCGAAACCTTACTGCACATCTAAATGACACCACCAACCATCTCCCAAAAGATGATTAGGCTACTGTGTAAAATGTAAGAGGAGTTTGAGAAAGAAGAGTGTTACAGACGGACGGACGGACGGACAGACAGACATGAGTAACAACAATATACCCGAACTTTCTTTAGAAAGTGCGGGTATAATTAAAGTGAAAAAGACATATCTTCAATTGCAAAGAGGGGTATCCTTTCCTGCTGAAATAGTCCTGCTCTCCCCCTAAAGCAGCCGAAAGTCTGATGTGTGACTATGAAACCTATCACTCCTGGCAAAGAACATACTTCTTCATTATCTGTGGCTATTTCTACTTGCCGGTGTGGTGGAGGCCAGCGAATAATCTGAAATATATAAAGAATGAAATAATATTAAGTTCTGACAAAGAATGTAAAAAAAAGGATGATTAACTGGGGAAATCAACAGATTGTGAAATTTATATTTTAAAAAATGAATAGAGGTTAAGGGTTGCAGGATCCACTCAAACTAAGGAACGGAAGTCCGACAGCCAAGGTCGTCCTCGAATAGCGTTCCATGACAGGGAAATTTGTAATAATTTTAACTCTATGAAAGGTTGCGTCAATGCGAGATGTCGATACGCCAATGTCTGTTTACTCTGCCAGTGGGAACATACAGCTCAAAAGTGTAGTGACTCAAAAACGGGCAATCACCCCGCTCGAGACGTTAAGCGGGGTTAACTTTCAGACATGTGTACCATCGACTATAACAATATCTGTGCTGCAGATTGAACTAAACGATATCCTGACTAAGAGTTTGCAAACTTTCTTATCAGAGGATTAGTAGGGAATTAAACCCCAAAGGACCAGCCGAAAGTAAATACTCAGAAAAGAAACGTTTGATAGTTGATATGTCGGCACCACATAACAGTATGGACCATCCAAGTTTTACGTAGTTGCTCGTCATATAAGGGGAATTACAAACTCCATTGCTGATACCTTGTCTCGATTTCAGATGGATCGTTTCCGTCGTCTTGCCCCAGAAGCAGACCTTCTGCCGAAACCAGGCAAAGAATATTCGAACCTTATCATAATCTAAAGAACATGCTAAACATTTAGTTGATGCCTCCATTGAGCCTAGCACAGCAGCAACTTACGGTACTGGATAAGACTGGGTTTTTTTTCTTGTTATGTCTCGCGAAGTCTAGCATTACGTACGATATACTTGTATATTTTGTTACACATTGTCTACTTAAATTAAAATGAAGGCACGAAACAATTAAAACTTATCTTGCAGGTATACGTTTTTCTACCTGAAAGAGGGCCAATGCCGTATGTTTAAAGACTGAGAGACTTCACAGTGTACTACGATGTGTTAAAAGCAATAATGCAATAGCAGATCAAAACGATTACCTATCACTTTGAAATCTCAAATTTGTCCCAGATATCTGATTGTCTTAACAAAGTGTTTATTTCACCCACCCTGGCTAGATCTTATGTTGTGTTGTATATGTAAAATGGCTTTTTTGACTTTCTGAGATGTGGAAAATTTCATAAGCAGAAAGACTATTTAATTATACAAGATGTCACTTTTGCAGAGGATTGGTCTTTTGATACATGTACCTTGAAACTTAATTCCTCTAAGACAGATCATTTTCGACAAGGGATTGTTATAAAAGTTTTTGAGAATTCTCATTTAAATTCAGTTAAAAACTATGAAAATGTATCTTGAAGGTCAGTTAAATGTTTGTCACACACATAACCATGCTGCTCTATTTGTTGATAACGAAAGTAATCCAATGTCTAGAAGCTTTTTCATACTTCATGTGAAACAAGTCCTTCCTAGGTTAGGTTTTGATGATACTAGATATTCAGGTGATTCCTTCACAATTGGAGCAGCCACTACAGCAGCTGCTGTGGTATTCGAGATCATTTAAGGGGGCTCTCTACAACGTCACAACATGGCGTACTTTCGTTCGAAACGCCATTTTGGTCCGAAATGAACTGATTCTGTCCTAAACAAATTCACTGAACACCGATAAATCACTGGGTATAACACAACTTGCGATATGTATACTAGCTTTATTGTGAATGGAATCTATCCCCTCAGGCGACAAGAGTGGCCAATGTAGCCTTTCAGTAAACATGAATTGTTTGTCAATATATTCAATTTCGAATTAATATAATATATAAAAATAAAATATGAATATAAGTAATAAAAAGTTAATATAATAAACCAACGCCTTGTCACCATGATATTTGATCATTGCGTGTCAAATACTCTCATACGTTTCCATAAAAACCTAAATTGATGCTTCTCTACAAAAGCATATGCTTTCCAGCGAAATATATTCAAAAATGCAAATTTAAACAGATAAAGCATATGTATCACATTCCCATCGCATAGAGGAGACACCTTGTTCCCAACAAGTATACACCCAGCATGTTTGGTTATACCCGGTGAAATTGAAACTCTCATGAAATCACCAAAACGCTTCAATAATAAGTGGAAATATATTAACTCAAAAGTTTGATCAACATTGATTATCAGCTGTTTTGTATGGAAAACGTGCAGATTTGAAACGAAGTAGGAAATTCGTTATACGAATTTCTTTTACCCGCTTATGTACGTGTCATGTCATCCGTAGCACAGGATAATACATGTACATACAAGTTGGATGAAAACGGTAAGTAAATCTATCTTTCTCAATACTATGAATTCACTTTACATGTCTTGACTAGAAACGTGTGAGTCTCCGCTTAAATTCATTTAAAAACAATACAATACGAACTTCTTTCGATGTCCTAGTTTGCCGTGTACTTATTCAGTCTTTTTTTTCAATACCTGTGCAAGTTTTAAAAGAATTAGATTAATATAAAAAAAACCAATCCCAAGATATTTGAGCCCACTCTCTAAACGAATCTTTGACACCTAAATTTTTGCGATGGCTAAATTTTTTGTCAGTTTTTCAATTTCATTTAACTTCTTTTTTTCATCACTTTAATCCTTTAATATTATATCTATTTTCAGATTTTGGAGGAAATCCATCCAGCTCTTCTCATGAAAATGCTGTTTTAGTTTTTCTTTTGTCTATTATTGTAGATTCAAATAAAAATTATGTAGATTTCATTTATAACTTTGTTGGTTTTCATTTCAAGATTTTATAACTTAAACTTTGAATAGAAAATTAAAGCATAAGGGTTTCAAAAATAAAGAATTAAGGGGTTTCTACAAAATAAATTTAATATTTTAAATATTTCCAAAAATAAAATTTAATACTTTGGAGCTTTATATTATTAGATATAATTGAGTCTATTATTAGAGACAAATGCATGAAACAAAAATCATTTATACGATTTTCAATTCTATATGACGTCTATAAGAGTAAATAATAGCAGAGTCCGCGTAATTTTTGAACGGCCCTCGTACTTCACAGGTGTAGAAATCCTCCTTAATTCAGTCACTAGGTCCCTGGAATTCAGACTGTTACGCAAGCTATATTTAAATCAATCAAAAATACTATTCAGTCTGCACAAAGAAAAATGTGCTCATTTTAAGGTTTTTTTCCTCCATTTATCTTCCTGGGGCATTCACTCACATCAATACTTAGTATCCACTACAATATGATGATCATTCAATTTGGCCTGTATACCCCCAATTCAGATAAATTTTTTGTATTATGTAATTAATTAAATATAGCTTATATAAATTGAAATTGTTTTTACCTGAAGGTGAACACTTTTGTTATCCTGAATTCATCCTATATGCTGAAACTGTAAAGAAAAAAATCAGAGATCAAGACCAGGGCAGTTGTTTTCATGGACAATGTTGTGAACACAAAAATAATTCCTTGTTTATTTTGTTTTGGATGGGATTACTGAGGGAATGTTACACTTGCTTTGTCTTCATTCAAATTTTTACTTTTTTCTTCAGGGATAAAGTCAATCAGTGACATGGAGATATTACAGCACTTCTGTTACACAAGAAAAATGGTCATCATGGATGTTGTATTCTGCCACTGGTACTTCATGTGTGAACGTAGGAGATGTGTTCCAACTTGTAACTACGACATGTTAAAGTGTGTTCTTAACAGTATGGAGAGATTTGACTTAATTCGTGTGATTCAAAGGAACAAAATAGATATTAATGAAGATGAAGAATCTGATGAGGACAATACTCACTTTTAAAATCACTATTTAAATACATGTCCTATACTTGGCACTCCTTAATACTGTACGCAAATTAGAAGTAACCTCACAAATATGTTTCCATATATTTATTATATATTTTAATATTATCACTTATATTGAACATTTGATGACCATAAAGATATCACCAGGCAGTAAAACTTTTTATGTAAAAAATGTAAGAAAATTGTTTAAGGTATGACAGTCGTCAGCTTTTGAGAAAGGATTGGTCAGAACCTCTAACTTTAAAACTATTTATTACAATTTAATTTTTGTAACATATTCACATCAAACAATATAAATTAAGCAATATTAGTTTTTTAAAAAAACGGGGCCCACAAAACTGTTCATAAGCGAGATTTATGTGGGATTATTTCTTGTGATGGAAGAATATTTAGAAGAAAATTCTTCAAATCTACACATTTATTAAATTCAAGATTTTGGAACTCAGCTGCCTTACATATTTTTAGTGGGAGAATTTGTGATGTTAACCAACAATATGGCGTTCAATACTTTATCTAAATATGTCCTAGGTCGCTTACAACATACATAAAACTTGCAGTGCTTATATCATTTACAATAGAGAAATGTGATAACATTACATCTCCCTTTTTTAAGGACTTTTCCATTTCTGAAAGATTAAAGAACTATTAAATTCACTAGAAATATTGAATCAATTAATTAACAGTTTATGTACAAACAAAGTCCTCAAGATATTTTGGTCGTCTCACTGTACGCTGTGGTCTTGGTTCTTGACGCGGAGTGGTTGACGCATCTGTTTGGTCAGATTGTAGCTGCGGTGGCTTATCCAACGTTGATTCAGTGCACGTGTCATCGGGGACAACAGATGGCAAGGTAGTTTCACCAGTTTTGAGCAGTTGTCTGCGGTTTCTGCGATAAAGCTTGTTATCACCGGTGCGCACTAAATAAGATCGGTCTGAGAGTTTCTGATCCAGTATAGCAGGTTCCCAGTGTTTTGAATCTTTCTGTACACGAATTATTTCACCTCTGTTGATGTTTGGCAAAGTTGCAGATTGGCGATCATAATAGCGTTTTTGTTTTTCCTGGCGCGCGATAAGTTGAGGTTTGCAAGATTCAACAACTTTAGGATTCAACATGTCAGATGTTATTGGTATCTTTGTACGCAACTGTCTATTCATGAGTAGCTGGGAAGGTGAGTGTCCTATTCCGTCAATCGGTGATGCGCGATAGTTCATAAGACTTGTGTAGATATCAGATCCAGATTCATCAGCTTTCTTGAGCAGATTCTTTACGGTCTGAACACACCTCTCCGCCTGTCCATTTGATTGTGGGTATCTGGGACTTGAGGTTGTGTGAATGAAATCCCAATCTGTCGCGAACTTCTTAAATGCGTAACTCGAGAACTGAGGTCCATTATCCGTGAATAGTTCTGTTGGAATGCCATGACGAGCAAACACAGATTTAAACGCAGTGATTGTTTGTGAACTGGATGTTGTAGGCATTCGAACTATTTCAGGATATTTGGAATAGTAATCAACACACAGAAGGTATTCAGAACCTTTGAACTGAAACATATCTGCTGCCACTTTGGCCCAAGGACGTGAAGGTATCTCCTGTGGCGTCAATAGTTCCTTGCAGTTAGAGTTCCGGTACTTGTTACACACTGCACATTGTCCAATAAAGTTTTCAATATCCTGGTTCATTTTTGGCCAAAATAGTATTTCTCGTGCTCATGTCTGTGTTTTCACTATGCCCATGTGGGCTTCATGTAGTTTATTCAGCATCTCGGTTTTCAAGCTGATTGGTACCATGAGTCTTTGGCCTTTGTACAAAAGTCCATCTATGGCTGTTATTTCATCACGGTAATTCCAGTATTGAATGATATTCAACGGAACACTCAATCGTTCAACTGGCCAACCAACCAATACTGTATTTTTCAGCGTTTGTAAGGTCTCATCTGCAGCAGTTGCCTCTTTGAGCTGTTGCAGTTTTTCGGGGGACACAGGAAGTTGTGCCTCAATCGAATTAACGTCTATCTCATCATCAACGAGAATCTCGGGAGTCTCTTTCAGGTAAGACCGACTTAATGCATCTGAGATGTGCATCTCTTTACCTGGTACGTACACTAGTTTAAGATCGTAGCGCTGTAGCTTCATAAGCATTCGCTGAAGTCTCGGAGTCGCTCTGTAAAGTGGCTTGTTGTAGATCGCAACAAGGGGCTTATGGTCTGTTTCCACAGTCACACTTCGCCCATAAATGTAGTGATGAAACTTCTCACATCCATATACTATCGCGAGCATTTCACGTTCAATCTGAGCATACCGCTTCTGTGTCTCTGTTAGGGCACGCGATCCGTATGCTAGAGGATGCCCATCCTGGAGAAGTACTACACCAAGACCTTTTGAGCTTGCGTCACCTGAAATTGTCACTGGCTTATGTACGTCGTAAATACTTAGTACCGGTGTGCTGGAAACTAACTGTTTCAGTCTGTCGAAACTCTTCTGCTGAGGCGTATCCCAGTGCCATTCTACATCTTGTTGTAGAAGCGTCCGAAGTGGAGCAGTCACGTCAGACAAGTTCGGTATGAATTTCGCAACATACTGAACAACACCTAACACACGTTTCACTCCTGATACATCCGTTGGTGACGGCATATCTACTATCGCCCGTACTTTCTCAGGATCTACTTTGATGCCACTGTTTGTAATCAAATGTCCTACATACCTCACTTCTGGTACACGAAACTCCACCTTACTCTTATTTAACTTAAAGTTCATTTCGCGACACCGTTGTAACATCTGTTGTACACGGTAATCATGTTCCGCAGTGGTCTCTCCCCACACTAAGATGTCGTCGACAATGCATTCCACGCCCTTCAAGTCGGAAAACATCTCCTGTACCCGTTTAGAAAACACTTCCGGTGCGGAGCTTATTCCAAAAGGCAACCGTAGGTACCTATACCGGCCAAACGGGGTATTGAATGTCAATAACTTAGAACTGGACTCATCAAGTGTGATATGCCAGAATCCATGGGTAGCATCAAACTTAGAAAACACTTTAGCGCGTGGAAGCCTTTCAATCACTTCATCAACTGTTTGTAAGTGGTAGTGCTCTCTCTTAATCGCACGATTCAAATCCTTTGGATCAATGCAAAGTCTTATCTTGTTAGGTTTGCGCACAGTAACCAGACTATGTACCCAGTCTGTTGGCTCATCTTGCTTCGTGATAACCCCTAGTGTTTCCATTCTCTCAAGTTCTGTTTTTACTTTGTCACGTAACGCTGCAGGGACTTTACGCGGTGGGTGTATGACGGGAGTAATTGTTTCATCAATGTTGATGTGGTGTTTCCCAGGAAGTTCACCTAGTCCTTTGAAAACATCCTCAAAGGTTTGCAGTACATGCTCCTTCGTCAACTCTTCTCCCACAGAATGTATCCGCACAATTGATCCGATTTCTGAACATGCATTCTTGCCAAGTATAGCTTGTGCCTTTGTATCAACAATAAAAAATGGTAAGTTATATTTTCGGCCACGCACAGAACATTCCAGAATCTTGGTGCCCTTCGGTGTGATCTCAGCTCCACCATATGTGACTAATCTGATCTTTGTGTGTGTGAGCTGCTGATCATTTAGTTCCAACTGATCAAAAACATGTTTTGGAAGAATGTTCGCTTGGGCACCTGTATCCAGCTTAAAGTCTACATTGTGGTCATTAATTGTCACTGTCTCAATCCAATCGCTCTTCTCTTGATCCACTGTGTTAATCTGTAAGGTTCCAATGAAAAGTTCTGTATCCTCTTCTAAGTCTACGTTATATGGTACTCCTACGGTATGAATCTTCTTTGCAGTGTTAGATTGTTTTGACAAACAATATTTAGCAAAATGATTCTTCTTCTGGCAACGATGACAAATTTTGCCATACGCAGGACAGTCACCAGTCATGTGTTTTCTTCCACAATTACGACACTGTTTACCTCCAGTACTGTCAGGCCTTTGATTTTCAGTTCTTTGTTTATCATGCTTTGTGTTCTTTTGTGAGCTTAGTTTCCTACCACTAGTTGACTTACGTATTACTGCTACTGAATGTTCCTCAGATCCTTTCAGAGATTTTAACTGTTTTGTACTCATTTCTTGGGCCCTGCACACATCGATTGCTTTTTTCAGTGTTAAATCCGATTCTCTTAGTAAACTTGCACGACATGCTTCATCCTGAATACCACACACTATTCTGTCTCTGATTAATCCGTCCGTTAAATGTTCGAATTCACAAGGCTGCGCTTTATTTTTCAAATCTGTCACATAATTGTCTATGGGCTCATCCTGACCCTGATTACGTGTGAAAAACACGTGTCTAATATATGTCAAGTTCTTACGAGGCTCACAGTACTCTTTAAACTTATTTTTCAACACATCTATCTTTTCAGCATCTTCGCCTTCGATACCGAAGGTGTTATAAACACGGCGTGCTTCAATGCCGGCCACGTGCAAGAAAGTAGCTACCTGTACCTTCTCGGCTTTTTCTCCGTTTCCTGTGGCTGTAAGATAAAGTTCAAAGCCTTGTATCCACTCCTTCCAATTTTCGGCAAGATTTCCTTCCATCGAAAGATGGTCTGGAGGCTTCAGTTGCTCCATAATCCTTGCTTTGACACTTCTGACACCATGTGATGTTAACCAACAATATGGCGTTCAATACTTTATCTAAATATATCCTAGGCCGCTTACAACATACATAAAACTTGCAGTGCTTATATCATTTACAATAGACAAATGTGATAACATTACAGAATTCTTTTTCGTGATTATGTATTAGTAATATTAAATGTAGTGTTACGAAATTTTTTCTCCACGTTGTGTATTTAAACCAGTTGATCACTCGCAGCGCATACCTATTGTACTATCCAGTCGTTGTTTTCATCAGATTAATATGTATAGTAACTAGGGATGTCAATTTTATTCGGACAGCTTAGTCGAATAGTCGGAGGCCTTAGTCGAACGATAGTCGAATATTCCTTGAAATTTAAATTAATTTTCATGTCATTTTCACTATTTGTCTTTAATAGACTAGTTGTACAATATTTAACCTACGCTATCACCATTATACAACGAATTTCTGAATCGTAAACATTTACGTAGTACAATAAATAATGTACATCTACATTTATCCACTGTATTTGATTTCAAAATTAATATAATATTTGTAACAGGGTTTTCTTAAGGAAAACAAACTCCTGCGGCTCAGGTTCTCATATATAATTTATTGTGAATGTTGAATGTATAAACAAACAAACAAAGCCCTGATTGTGGATCAGGGCTCAAACAATGGGCCACCCG